CGGATATCCTCCTAACTAATTTTAAAATATTGCGAAAAAAACTCCTCAGCCAGGAGTCGAACCTGGAATCTCCGGCTTTCCGGGCTGTCGCCTTCCCTGTTAGGCCACCGAGGCACTTGGAGTTTGTCTCGCAATACTTCGTACATCTATTAAGAGTTAGTTATATTTATTAAAAACAAGACAAATCAAAATCTTAGCAAATTACTAACATATAGTGTTGAAACTAATACAATGACGGAGCGCATAATCGTTTCGTACAAAGTAATCTATAAGCTAGGGTGCAAGTGTGAGAGAGAGAGGGGAGATACGAGTTGTTTAGTGCAGCCAGCCTCTTTAACCCATGTTTACGCAACTTAGATCATCTTAGAAATGTATTTCCTAATGTCAATTTACAAATTCGGTTTTGTTTCATTTCTTAGGTTCCGATAGATTTAATAATAGAAACAAATTTGAATGTGTCATGGTTTTACGACTGATATTCGCAGATAAGCGGGCTTGTTTGTTTCCGTGATTTAGGAAAGAAAAAGAAATAATTCAGACGCCACTCGAGACGGCTATACACCGCGAGTACCCCTTCCGAAAAGATTCGGATGCCACCCGAGACAGCTATATACCGCGAGTAGCCTTTCCGATTAAACCGAATTTTTGAGTGTGTCTATGTGTTTGTTTATTTTGACCGTTTTCTCGATTTCTCCGAAAATCAGTCGCAAAGTCGGGAGGTAAGTACGCGAACAGTGGAACCTCCGAATGAAAATAATTACACTGTGGACTTACTATTTATACAGCGGACCAGTGATGTCGATCAATAAAAGATTCTAGGCTGTTGCGGCACAGCAGTTCACTCTGGGATTTCACATTCTGCACTCACTGTCACTCACTCACTCGCTGTGGTACTTCTAAAATCTGCGGCTCTATCTGGCTCTGATCCCGAGAGTCCCGGCTTATATACAATTTTGAGTAAGCGAGGACTCTTCCAATCGGAAAACTCGGTCAAGCTTGCTGGTTCCTATTTGTTGATTAGTTGGTCGGGTAAACTTCGTGAGATCGCCAATCGGCGACGATCTCTCGGCTCGGTCGGCTCGTCCGATTTTCCGGAGAAGGGAAAAGAAAGAGTGTTGGTTTTCGATCACGCCACCTAGACCCTTTGATATTTGTTTATAATAAAGTTTTTGTGGATTATTCGTGGCGTCGGAGTTCTATTTGCTCCGGCTGCTCTAATTTTTATGAGCGGTGTTTTTCCTGGCCCGGAGATATCCGGGTTTGTTTAGGATGTTTAAACAATAAGTTTAACATTTCGTGTTATTACTAGGCGCGGTTTATCTTTTCGGACGCCGATGTGATTTCCGTTTGCTCTTCTATCGTCTGGAGTCCAAGTCTCCAAATAGGAAGTCTGCTCGTATTATTTATTACTTTTTATTATTTACTAAAAGGGAAATTTGTTATGCGTTGGCGCGTCGCGTTGCAAGAAAAAGGGGACCGTGGAGTCTCCAGGACGTAACATTTGGGAACACAAACAATAAGCAAATAATAACAAACAATTTATTTGCACGCATTATTACATGTAAAAATAAATACATAACGTGGTAAATCCATTATATTGTATCTCTATTGTTTTCAATTAGTTATTTTACTAACTATATTTTTTGCCAATATGCTGCGTTACTTTCAAACTTGAGTTTTATTGAAAGTATTATTTTTAAAAAATATTATAATATGTGAAGTATGTGCGCTTTGTTATACGTAATTGCAACTCTCACTGTCCATTTTCTTTTTCTATCTACTATTTTCTGATAAAAAATATTAGCAATTGTTTATTTAATGTCTATTGTAATAATAGTAATATTTGAATATTTTTTAATGCAATATGCGCGAAATATAATTGTAAAACTGTTACTTTCTAATATAAAGGGTGTCCCAGAATTGTCGTACAATCTCTCGTAGGCAGGTAGAAGGAATAAAACTGAGTCGAAATGTCCTGAATTATTTTTTTCTATTATTTATAATAAAGGAGTAATTATTGAGTAAATCAGGCCAATCAGCGCCGATCTTTAGCCAGGCGCACGTCAGTGAGCCACGCGGTACAAGTTTATAACATATTTCCGATGCGTAGACTGCAAACCAAAAAAAATCAACATGTCGGCATTTATTTATTATGAGCGCGAGTCATTATTGAATGATCTCGATACGAGCAGTGATTCATCGCATTCATCGCACAATGACTCAAATGAAGAATATTTACCAGGTATTATATTAAACCTAAATTGAATACGAGGTGTATAAAGTATTCAAAAGTATGCGTTAATATATTATTTGCGTTTAATTCTGTAATATTGAAAGCTTCGTTAGCTGAATTGAAATAGTAATGGACATGAGTAAAAGGAACATGAACGTTTTCGAACACATGCAATATTCCCATTTTTTTTACAGAAACAACAGACAAAACTAAATCTACAAGTACGCGTAAAAATGAAACAAATTTCAAAAAATCGAGAGAAGATACAGCAAAAGGTATATAAGCCATTGACATTACATAAGTAATTTCAGATAGTTTCTGTTAGATTATGCCATCTAGTCTTGACCTAAGTTTTTCCAAGTCTGTTTTCCAATTTATTCTCTACTAGATTCATTTATATTACCCGATTGATCGGTCCCCTTCTCCTTTTTAATTTTTCTATTTATTATAATCTGAAATGCTGTTTTGAATCGGATTCTTTTTGAATCTAAATCAAAACTCATACATTCATCTTTGAAATTCATTCAAAATAAATATTTGACTAAATCTTCCGTCAGATCTGATTCAACTTATTAATCAAGTTATCTACTTATTTTACATGTTTTACGCGTCTGATTATTTTGTTATCAGAATTGCTAGAAGAAATACAATTAAGTTTTTCCAATTATCCAACCAACCTGAAAAAAGAGAGTTTGAGGAAGCGAGAAAAAAGACGGAAAAAGGTATAGTATCAATTTTGTACATACGCTATTGTGCTAAAAGTTTTAAAAAGTAGCATTAACGGATGATAAGTTCAGTAACGTCACTAGGCTGTGTGTCGTGGAAGTCAAGTGGAAAATGCAAAATAGAGCTCTATAAACCGTTTTGAATGATTAATTTTCTCGATTACAACGATTTTCCGTTTTGTGTTATATTTTAAATCTCGGTTGCACATTTCAGGTGCAACCGAAATTTTATCGATCATTAATGTACTGCACCTCCTTCATATGAGAAATATTTTTATATTGTTTTATAGAAGGTCAACCGCGAATAGTCTCCGAAATTATATTTTCGCCTTCTGCACCAACTCAGAGTAGTGCAATACGTAATGCCACAAATGAAGGCCATACATCATCTTGCTGTGGTTTGTATATTGCTTTTACTTCACTGCGACTTACATAATATATAATTGCATTCTGTTTATATATTAAATAATCATTTTGACTTTCAGGTGAATGCCGAAGAGAATTCTTGCAGAAATTCGCAATCGTCAAGCGGAAGCTCAATCACATAATATATTTACTTCAAAGTCAGGATCAGAAATCCCAACCTGCACAAGAAAACCACGAGAACCTGTTACCGGATTTTCCGCTGACAACAGTACAAGATTTGAATGATTTCAATGAACGATTGCAGGATGATGGCGCTCAACGACAATTAGTAAGTTTATTATAATTTATAAATTTTTGTTATACACGAAATTTTAGACATTATTACACAATGATTATGCATTCTTCTTTTATAGAAGATTTTGGTTGTTTCTTTTATGTGTATTTCTGTCATTTTACTTACATTTTGTTATTTAACCTTTTCGCTCCGGGGATTTTTCCTTTAAAATTGACCTCGCATTTTAGCTGAAAAAGTTAATAATAACCTGCTACCCCCCCCCCTTCAAAGTTAATTTTGAAGGTCAAAGAAGTAACCAGGATTTTTTTCAATTTTTTTCCTAANCAAAGTTAATTTTGAAGGTCAAAGAAGTAACCAGGATTTTTTTCAATTTTTTTCCTAAATTTAGTGCATTAAATTGACCTTATAAACATCTATTACGTTCGCTTTTCTTGCTGGTCCATATATGGACCAGTCCCGGAGCGAAAAGGTTAATAGAAATACAACGATTAAAATATTGAAATTGTTTAGTTGATAATAATGAATATAAATTTTCCAGTCATGTTAAGCTTAGCGTCTATCAAAATCGGAAAAATATGTTTCTAATTTGATGTTCTTTCTTTCAATAAATAAACTAACGTAATGCTAATCCATTGCCTTGAATCTGGGTTTTCAGAAAACTCATGCCACAGAACTATATAACATTCATTTCTAAAGCTAAATTGGAAAATTCAGTTTTGAAAAACACTGTAGGAAGTGTACATTATTTATCTTGTGTTGTTATTTTTAATATTTGGTACATATATATATCTGTTACAGATTCAAAAAATGTCACGAATAGGCGGAGAGAGTGTCTGCAAAACCGTAAGAAATATCATGGCTCAAACAATTGGAGATGAATTGGCCCAAATTTATACGTGGACGGGTCAGAAAAAGAAATTGGCGCTAAAAAAAAACAAAATTGTCAGACGTTATTATCGGTATACCTTCTTATCGTGCACATTTTTCAATATTAAATAATATGTTTTTTAAAATTAAGCATAGGATTGTGAAATAAAACAATTTAGAAAAAAATATAACATAAATGTCTTATTCATGTTACATATCAAACTGTAAATCAAATTGTAAAAATCTTTTTTGATTATCTGAAATTAAACAATGATCTGAAATTAACAATGAACCAATTGTTTTAATAATATTTATCAAGAGGCACGGTAGTGCCTCGCGCCAAGTTCACGTGCAATGAAGTCGTGCGCGAACGAAGCGAGCACTCCGTGCCTCTATTACGGGAAAATGAGTAATTTTGACAGTTGCGAAAATATGAAATATTTATATTTTATTAATGATTGAACCAATCGACTTCTTTTTAATCTCAATCGATTCAGAACAAACACATTTAAAAAAAGTATTATTGCGGTTTTTGTATTTGTGTCCTCTAATTGGAAATATTTGATAATAAGTTTTGACAGTGAAAAATTCACGTTTTCATGGTCGTCGTGGGATCGGAATTTGTGCATGATCGTATGCCTGCTAACAGATGGCATAAATGTACGTGCACGCTGAAAGGAGAAAAGAGAAAGAAAGCAGGAAGTGTGAGTTAGAGAGAGAAGAAAGAGAGAATCAAGAAGCACGGTTGTGATTTCAGGTTTACCGCACAAAAATTCTTCCGCATTATACGTTTTAGTTAAGTATTTTATTAGGATGTAAGTTAACTAACTTCTATTGTACTTCTATTGTGAGATTGT